CAGTCTGGTCTACAGAGTGAGTTCCAGGCCATCCAGGGCTACACAGAGAAATCCTGTCTCAACAAAACAAAATAAATACACAAAAAAAATGTCAGCTGGGCGGTAGTGGCATACACCTTTAGATATGGAGGCTGGAGAGATAGCTCAGTGGTTAAGAGCAGAGAACCCAGGATCAGTTCCAGCACCCACATGGTAGCTGACAACATCTGTAACTCCAGTTCCACTTATGGCCTCCATAGGCACTGCACAAACGCAATGCAATAGACATGTATTCAGGCCAAACACTCATACACAGAAAATAAAAATGAATATTAAAGAAGAACTTCGGAGTCAACTTGCAATGGTGGCGTGTGCCTGTAAGGAGATGGAGGCAGGAGAATCACTGCAAGGTGGAAGTCAACCTGGGCTACAAAAGGAGACCCTGTCTCTAAAAACCAAACAAGCCTGAGTTTAATCCCTGGGACCCACATGGTAGAAAGAGAGAATCTACAGCTACAAGTTACCCTCTGCCTTCCATATAGGCAGAGTGGCCCTTGTGTGCCCACACACACATACTAACTGAATAAGTACATAGAAGAAAAAAAGAAAGGGGTGAAGTGAGACCAAAACAAGAACCAGGCCAGGAATGGTGGTGCACACCTCTAATTCCAGAACTCAAGAGATGGAGGCAGGTGGGCACCTGGGGGTTCAAGGCCATCCTGGTCTACATAGTGAGTTCCAGGCCAGCAAGGGCCACATAGTGAGACCTTGTCTCAAAACAAGCAAATGACAGAACAACCACCAAGAACCAAAAACAACAACAAAACCCACCAAACAAAGGATGCTCTCTGTGCCCCTCAGCATCTGTGCTCTCCCATAGTGTAGTCTCTCTTGCTGAATCCCACTATCCTGCCTCTTCTTGGCCCTGGGCGGTTAATTCCCCAGGACAGTCCCTATGAAGGTCGGGCGGGTGGGACAGCAGGAAGCGGCTTTACATTACAGGGACGTTACATTACCATGATCGTTGGCGAGGACAGGAGAAAGTGAGTATGGGGGATTCTGACCCTTCTTCTCCTACCCCCTTGCCCAGGACAATTGCCGACTGTTCCCCAACAAGGACCAGCAAAATTCAGACACAGATTCATTTGGGGATGCCTGCGACAACTGTCCCAATGTTCCCAACAACGACCAGAAGGACACAGATGGCAATGGAGAAGGAGACGCCTGCGACAACGATGTGGATGGGGATGGTGCAGGCCTGGGGCCCAGGGGATGGCTGGGAGAGCTATAGGGATGAGGCAAGGAGGGGGGAAGTCATTGCAGCTGGGGAAGCAGGCTGAGAGACACAGGCTAGGAACATGAAGTGGCTACAAGTGGTTAGTGTGATGTGAGCCCCACAGAGTGCAACCAGATTCCCGGCAGAGCTGAGGACTTCCGCCAGCAGAGGAGCGCACGACAGCTTGTCTCTCATATCTACTAGGCATCCCCAATGGACTGGACAACTGCCCTAAAGTACCCAACCCACTGCAGACAGACCGGGATGAAGACGGCGTGGGAGACGCTTGTGACAGCTGCCCTGAAATGAGCAATCCCACCCAGGTACAGGGGAAGGGGGAGGGGGAGAGAGGGCGGGGGATTGGTGGGTGAGGCCTGGACCTTTTAGAGGCGAGATCACCCTCTCCAGAGTTATGAGGAGATGGTGAGATCAGACCCCTCTCTCAGACAGATGCAGACAGCGACCTGGTGGGGGATGTCTGTGATACCAATGAAGACAGGTAGGGTCTGGGCCAACAGATCCAAGGTCTCCCAGGGAATATGTTCCTCTACTACATTCTCAGTTGCCTCATGATGTAGCCTTAATTCATTAGCCCACTCAGCAGGGAGTCCTGCTCACAGTCCGCCCTATATTCCTACTGCTGGATTCTCATCTCATCTGGATGATGGCAAAGGGACCAGGTTGGAGGGCAGGCAGGCCCCAGAAAGGCCCCAGAAGATAAGGAAAAGATGGGACCTACATTTCCAGCTGGTATTTGTTCCTTTTCTTCTGAGCAGCGATGGAGACGGACATCAGGACACCAAGGACAACTGTCCCCAGCTGCCAAACAGCTCTCAGCTGGACTCGGACAATGACGGTCTTGGAGATGAGTGTGATGGGGACGATGACAATGATGGTGTCCCAGACTATGTGCCTCCTGGGCCTGACAACTGCCGTCTGGTACCCAATCCTAACCAGAAAGACTCCGACGGTAAGGCTGGGGTCCCAGAGATGGTTGGCGACGTTGATACAGGCAGACCCGAAGGGAGTGAGGGGTGACAGCTGGCGGGGCCTGAGCACTGGCCTCTCTGCCCAGGCAATGGTGTTGGTGACGTGTGCGAGGATGACTTTGACAACGATGCAGTTGTTGACCCCCTGGATGTGTGTCCAGAAAGTGCAGAGGTTACCCTCACAGATTTTCGGGCCTATCAGACTGTGGTTCTGGATCCCGAGGGTGATGCTCAGATTGACCCAAACTGGGTGGTGCTCAATCAGGTATGCAGGGCAGTGGGCTGGGCAGGTGTTGGCAGACCAGACCTCCTGTTGGTACCTGGGTGGCATCTGTGTACCTGAACCAGGGCTTTTTAAAAATTTCTTTCTTTCCTTAACAACCCCAGGGCATGGAAATTGTTCAGACTATGAACAGTGACCCAGGCCTTGCAGTTGGTATGTAAGGGACACCCAGCTCAGTAATTCCCAAAGGGAAGGCCGCTAGAGAGGGTAGGGAAAGAACCAGATGGGGAGGATGGGCGGGGGCTTACCACAAGACTCTCTCTGCCCCCAGTACTCACCCCACCATGGGATACCAAGTAGCTTTAGTGCCCCTAACACTTATCCCACTCCCACCCCAGGATACACGGCTTTTAACGGTGTAGACTTTGAAGGCACGTTCCACGTGAACACGGTCACTGACGATGACTATGCAGGCTTCCTCTTCAGTTACCAGGACAGTGGCCGCTTCTACGTGGTCATGTGGAAACAGACAGAGCAGACTTACTGGCAGGCCACGCCTTTCCGAGCCGTGGCCCAGCCAGGGCTGCAGCTCAAGGTATTCCAGCTGCCCAATTTCCCCAACCCACTGACTTGGCGAACGCTGTTCCTGCCCAACCTCAAGGGCTGCACTGCCTGATTAGGACCCTTCTTACCCAGATGTCTGGGCTGGGCACCAGCTGTGTGGGGCTCCAGAGAATCCGCTCAGTTCTTGACTCCCTTTCTCACTAGCTACCATCTTTTGTCTCCTTTCACCCTGGTCCTGCGGTTGACACTCTGTCAATAACTCCCAGGCAGTGACATCAGTATCGGGCCCAGGTGAGCACCTCCGAAATGCTCTGTGGCACACTGGCCACACCCCTGATCAGGTGCGACTGCTGTGGACTGACCCCCGAAATGTGGGTTGGCGTGACAAGACATCCTATAGATGGCAGCTGCTGCACCGGCCCCAAGTTGGCTACATTCGGTAAGGAGAGGGTCTGAGCCCTAGAGAAGGGGGTAGGGGCAAGACTCAATCTCCTATGCCCTCTACCTAGCAGGGACTCAGCACTGTGACTTCCCTCCGCTCAGTTTCTTGGTGCCATGGGTAGAGTCCGCAGACAGTCTCTTCCATTTCTCATTTCAGCACAGAGGAGGTGGTGTTAGGCACCCCATTCCTCTGCACCAAGTTTCCCCTTGAAATCCAGGGTGTTGAGATAGACGCCTTCCAGTTCTCTGGAGTGTCTAGGCCCCAGGCAATCTGTAGAAGAGCCCAGCACTTCCAGCCCCTTAAGTGTCCAGAACTTGCTCCAGCAGCATCTGACTTTGGAAAGGGACCATGGCTTCCATTACAGCAGCTGAAGGCCCGTGGCTTACAGGCCTCTCAGTTTGGCTTCTTGTTTGCGACATTGGTTTCTCCCTCCTATATGTGTCCCTGGTTGGTGAGAATGGCTTGAGAAGGGAAGGGAAAGGGATCTGCTTAAAAGCTGGACTTCCTGTAGCCAAGAGCCTAGAATCCTGGGGGCTGAGTTGGTTTCTCTTTAAGGTATCTAGAGTGGTGGGGCGCCAGGGCAGAGGATAAAGGGGGGGTGTGGACTAGAGCCTGGGAAGCGGGTGACTTCACCCCCAGCCCTTTGTGCTCATTGTCATAGCAACCCAATCCTTGCTAGGAATGTGCTGGTGCTTTGAGATGCAAAAGTGGCTGGACAAAGAGCTAGGGGCCCAAGGCCTGAGAAAAAGCCCCCTCTCTCCCCTTTCCAGCCTTCCCTCAGGACTAGAGTGCACCAGGTTGGGGGGGCACAGAGCCCACTGGCACCTCAGCACCAATGATCCCTCTATCCCGGACAGGGTGAAGCTCTATGAGGGTCCCCAGCTAGTGGCGGATTCTGGGGTGATTATTGACACGTCCATGAGAGGGGGGCGTCTTGGTGTATTCTGCTTCTCCCAAGAAAACATCATTTGGTCCAATCTCCAGTATCGCTGCAACGGTGAGGCTCTAGACGGAGGTCAGCTTGACCGTGCCCCGGGAAGCCCTCATCCTCTGACGCAACTTGTTTCCCCTCTTCAGACACAGTGCCTGAGGATTTTGAGCCATTCCGGAGGCAGCTGCTCCAGGGAAGGGTGTGAGGAGGTGCCACAGGATTCAGAATTCCGATTGGAGACCTTTGACCTTGGGCTCTGTTCCGGAGACCCTGGGTCTAACCTGCAGCCCCTCAACCTAACGTGGTTCTCTGGCACCCATCAGGGAGCTCAGCCCCAGAGGAGTAGTTACCCCATTGTGCAGGGGCTGGGGGAATTTCAAGGGGTTATTGCTCAGGCACTGACCCCAGGAAAGACATCAGCACATTGCCATAAAAGTTACAGTTATTTTCTAAGTCAGTGCAATTACTTATTTTAGGCCTTTTCTAGGACACAAAGGAACCTGAGGAGTAAGAAAGGCTGCTAACTGCAGGTAGAGCTAGGGAAAGTTTGACCGAGTTGGAGTGTGGATGGGAAAAACACCAAATGAAGGACGAGGCTGGAGGACGGCTGAAGTCCTTCCAGCCCCACTTACTCACCGCGGCAGCAGCGACACCTCAGTCTAAGTTCCGCCGGGATCGAAAGCCCAGGGCCGGGGCTGCCCCGCTCTGGGTGAGGGGGCGCCGGGGGGCCGAGGGGGCCGGAGGCCGGGACGAGTGCAATATTGGCGGGGGAAAGAACAACACTGCACCACGTCCCGTCCCTCCCGCCCGCCCGGGGTCCCGGAATCCCGCTCCTTACCACGTGGGCCTTTGGAACCCAGGGACTGGGGGCGCTCTGGGGTGTTGGGGTCATCTTAGAGGTACACCAGAGCCTGGGCGCCCGGAATGGTAAAGGGGAGGGCGAAAGAGAAAGGGTGAGGAGAGAAGGGTTCCCCCGGTGCTCGGGAAGGCCACTTTCCGACGCTGAAGCAGTGCGCGCGCTTGCTCTTTAAATACTGAGACGGAGAGGCGCGGAGCTATTGCCATGGTGACAGGTATCCCAGCAACCGAATTGAATGGCTGTTGCCTGGCAATTCTAGGAGTTGGGGTTTGGGGCCGCCCACCCAAATACTCGTGGGCGCGCTGACGTAGGGCATCCCCACGCTGCCTGGAGCCGGCCTCACAAAATCGCTCAGAGGCACGACAAACGGCTGGAGCGTGGGTCCCATGCCTCCGTTCATGCACCTCCGAAATGCTTTCTAAAGTATTAGCTTCCGTTTTATATTCGTTGGGACTAAGAATTATTTGCCTACTACAGTTGTAACTGCTCCTGTTGGTTTACACTGCAACCTACACCTGCAGGATCTGACCTGGTACCCTCAGTCCGCATGCTGCTGTGAACCGAAAGCCCTCCCCGTCCCCAACTATTTCTTGACCTTCAGAATACCTCTCCTCCCTAAATACACACACGAGTTTGCCTTGCACCATGTGCCTGTCCGTCCCAAATACCCTTCCTCTCCCAAATACAACTCTGAGCTCCCAAATTCCATGGTTGCCCCATCTACTCTCTGCCTAGATGCCCGCAAACAACCTGTCCCACTCCCACATTCTGATGTCATCACACAACTTGATGCCCCCTTCCACATACATTGGGACCCCGTTCACTTAGCATCATTTCCCCCAAACACCAACCCCAGAAGTCTGAGTATCCCAAGTAATGATCCTTGCTCCTCCACCGCACTGTGCATTCCTTCCGATCTGTCCTAGGCATTGATCCTTTTCGTTAAGGCCCATCAACGTCCCTAAGATCCGTGTCTACTTGGGCTGTGCTGTCTATGTCTAGCCTTCTAACTTGGCCGGTGCGGGCCGGTCGCGCGATGCTCCCCGCTGACCACTAGAGGGCACGCGTTCCCGACCAGAAGGACCCGCCAGCCTGTCACTCAAGGTGGAAAGTTGGCCAGGAAGGACCTCAGGCTTCGGTAGAGCCCCAGTTTTCTCCTTTTTAAGTGGAAATTTACTCCCACCGCCTTTCTCAGAAGCAAGCCAAAGAGGGACCCAGGCTACTGGAAAGTCTGGCAGGGGCGGAGACTGTGGTTTTCAGAGTACAGGGAGTGGCTAGAAGGGTGGGGCTATTCCGGGAAGTGGGTGGGGGGAGCGACCTGTCCACTATTATCCAGCCCCCTTGTGTCCTCTAAACCTATGGAAAGCAGGTTTCAAGGACCCGCAGAGAGAACAGGAAAAGGGATGGGGGACCTAGGGATGGGTTTCTCTGGGCTCGAAGCCCGGGGCCTGTCTGTGCTGCCCTTCCTCAGCTTGGCTCTTGTTCTGGGGCTTAACCCAGAGCCAGGAGGTTCCAGGTTTCCTCCACATACACACATGGGGAAGTCAAGAACTGGTTTGTAAAAGGGGGAGGCCAATTGGAGAATAAACAGGTTGTCATAAGGTTGAGTGATTGGAGCCCAAGTACCCTACACAGGAATAGTTGGGGAGGAGGAGGAGGAAAAGATAGGGGAGGGGGCGGAGTTTTGTTACCTGTCACCTGCTCTAGCTGTGCGGGAGGGGTGCTGGTATAAAGCGGCAGGCACCAGAGCTGCTCCATCGCACACACGCAGCACCCGCCTTGAGTCTGTTTCTGCCCCCTTCCCGCCTGCTCACCACCACCATGACCCCAGGCGTCCGGGCTTTTTTCTTCCTGATGTTACTTATAGCGCTTGTAACAGGTGAGAGGCACACGGTGAGGGTGGGGAGGGACTGGGCTGATCAGGTGCCACTCGTCACCTTTCTGTGGCCTTTGCATTACGAAAGTCATGCACGGCAGACAGAGATGGCACAGTATTGCCGGAGTGAAAGAAAAAGGCTAAGACCCCAGGAGAGTGGGCACCATAGTAGGCAATGCTCTGATGTTTGTGGAGAGTGGAGAGGGCCGGCTGTGTAAGGAGAGGTAACTCAGTACTGGAAGAGTGGGCCAGGCTGGGCCGCAGTGGCTAGGTCAAGGCCAGGCTGGGCCGCAGTATGAATCCTTGTCTCAAAAGTAGAAGTGGAGGGATGAATGAGGCAGAAGCAGGGGTGAGTCTCTTAGAGAGGGAGAGAGTAGTGAGGGAGGTTGTCAGCCTTACAGTTTCTGGCTCCAGCCAGAAATCATGCAGGTTACCTGAAGCAACCTAGCGTCCACCTCTGTTGAGAGGTGTGTGCACGTAAGAACAACCTACTCCCCACCTTCCACTCTGGTTCAGGCCTTTTTGCCCTTCCAGATCAAAACAGTGTCACCTCATCTCAGGATACCAACAGTTCCTCAACCTTGACTACCACTCCAGGTTATGGTGGTGCCTCTACCCCGGCCACCAGCTCTACAGTGGACTCGGTCACCACTCCAGGTCATGGTGGTGTCTCTGCCCCGGCCACCAACTCTACAGTGGACTCGGTCACCACCCCAGGTCACAGTGGTGTCTCTGTCCCTGCCACCAACTCCACAGTGGACTCGGTCACCACTCCAGGTCACGGTGGTGTCTCTGCCCCAGCCACCAGCTCCACAGTGGACTCGGTCACCACTCCAGGTCACGGTGGTGTCTCTGCCCCAGCCACCAGCTCCACAGTGGACTCGGTCACCACTCCAGGTCACGGTGGTGTCTCTGCCCCAGCCACCAGCTCCACAGTGGACTCGGTCACCACCCCAGGTCACGATGGTGTCTCTACCCTGGCCACCAGCTCTACAGTGGACTCGGTCACCACCCCAGGTCACAGTGGTGTCTCTGTCCAGGCCACCAACTCTACGGTGGACTTGGCCAGCATGCCAGTCCACAGTGATACCTCTGCTCCAGCCACTAACTCTACAATGGACTCAGCTACCACTCCAGTCCACACCGGTTCCTCCATCCAAACCACCATGGCTATATCAGGCTCACCCAACACAGCCAACACTCCAATCCACAATGGCTCTTCGGTTCCAACTACCAGCCCTGCATTGGGCTCAGCCACCAGTCCAGCCCACAGTAGTGCCTCATCTATGACTAATAGCTCCGAATCAGACTTGGCCACCACTCCAGTGTACGGTGGCACCTCAGTCTCTACTACCAAGGCTACTTTAGGCTCTACCATCACCCCAGTCCACAATGGCTCCTTGGTGCCAACTACCAGCTCAGCTACCACTCCAATCCAAAATAACAGTTCTACAATGGCTGCTACAACTCCAGCTGGCAATGGTACTCAATCTCCAGCCCCAAGCCAGCATCCTGTTACTCCCACCACCCTCGCAATCTCCGGCAACAGCACGGTCCCCCTTAGCACAGCGCTTTTCCCGGCCTTCTCCAGGAATACTTCGCCCCAAGTGTCGCTTGAGGTGTCCTTCTTCTTCTTGTCCTTTCATATTGGGAACCACCAGTTTAACTCTTCCCTGGAAGACCCCAGCTCCAACTACTACAGAGCCCTGAAGCGGAACGTTTCTGAACTGGTGGGTACTAGCCCGGCCTCTGCCCTGCTCTTCTGAAGCAGCTCTGCAGGACTGCTTGGACCCTTTGCATCAAATATGAGCCCTTTCTTCTTATCCCAGTTTCTGCAGATTTTTAACGAAGATTTTCTGGGGATCTCTGCTATCAAGTTCAGGTACAGTGTGGATACGACTCAGGGTGGGGTGGACACCTGACTTTATGATGTGGGGGATAAGCGGATCCCCGTTGCTGAACCGCCCGTTTCCTGTGACCAGGTCAGGCTCCGTGGTGGTGGAGTCAACTCTGATTTTCCGGGAGGGTGCTGCCAGTGCCTCTGAGGTGAAGTCGCAGCTTTCACAGCATGCAAAGGAGGCAGAAGACTATAATTTGGCTATCTCCAAAGTCACTGGTAGGGCAACATCTCCAGCTCTGGCACCTGTGCACTTTCGGTGCTAGCTGGGGAAGGTCCGCCTCCTTTGGGGGACTTCCCCGACCACTGTTCTCCCTTTCAGTGGATGAGATGCAGTTCCCTTCCTCTGCCCAGTCCTGGCCTGGCGTGCCAGGCTGGGGCGTTGCCCTGCTGGTGCTGGTCTGTGTTTTGGTTGCTTTGGCCATCATCTATCTTCTTGCACTGGTAAGTCTCAGGCCTTCACCCATGTGTCCCAGTAAATGAGACCCCATGGGCTAGCATAATCTCTTGTTTCCCCAGGCAGTGTGTCAGTGCCGCCGAAAGAACTATGGGCAGCTGGACATCTTTCCAACCCAGGACACCTACCATCCTATGAGTGAATATCCCACCTACCACACTCATGGGCGCTATGTGCCCCCAGGCAGCACCAAACGTAGCCCCTATGAGGAGGTAAATCTATGTTCCACGGTTTGGGGCAGGGGCCCTGGCTTGGTGAGGGTTTTCTGGAGACCCAAGATGCTTTAGAGAGCTGAGCAGTGGAGAGCCTGGCAAGGTGGGGAATGAAGGTGCAGTTCGGAGGACCAGGTCTTGGAGACTACAGAAGCAAGGAAGGAACGGCCCTAAAAACCCTTGCCCTCACCTCTGACTGAACTCTGAACTGTAGCAGAGTGCTCATTAGGATGCCCAAGGTGAAGTGAGGGGGTACTGTGCCCAGGGAGCATTCCTGTCTCACGCACCTCTAGGGGCTGGGGAGTAGATACGGAACACGGGAGGAACAGAAGCTTCCTCCAGTGAGAGCAGTGTGCCCAGAGGGCTCTTGTGAGTTTTAGGAAAGCAAAGCCCTTTCCCTCTTTCCTCACCCAGTCTCTCTGTAGATCTAGTAAATCATACTGTGGCCACCTGAGACCAAAAGGCCAGTGGGTGGGAAGGGACAAGAGCTTCCTTTTCTTGCCCCATTTCCCTCCTCCTAGGGATCTCTCTCTACACACACACACACACACACACACACACACACACACACACACACACACACCACACACAGCCTGTTGGGACAGATGATCAAAAAATAAGAGGAAAAAGGGACAGGAAGGAGGGGCCTACAAGAGGGCTGGGGACTTACAACCAGGGGAGGGAGGGGGCAGTGGAGGAGTTGGGTGTTTACAGTCACCTGGCTGCTCTGAGGCCCAGCAGGTGCACACTCTGAATTAACTCCTTGAGAGCTTGCCAGGCCCATAGCCTGGGGTGCCATCGGGGTTCTCTCACCTGAATTTATTTTCCCTCCGCTCAGGTTTCTGCAGGTAATGGCGGTAGCAACCTATCGTACACCAACCCAGCAGTGGCAACCACTTCTGCCAACTTGTAGGGGACCTGTCACCACCTCAGGGGCCAGCGGTGGCAGTCTGCCCCCTCAGTTTCCACTGCTAGACCCCTGCGCTCTGATCTGGGCTGGTGAGCCGGAGTTCTGGTAGGCTGCTCACAGCCTTGCTGAGACTGCCAAGTGTCTCAGCCATCTGAGCCTGGTGAAGCCCAGCTCTGCCCTGGGGGATGCCCTGGGGCAGGGGTGCAGTGGTGTCTCTCAGGACTGGCCTAGAAAGCCTGGAGATGGACATGGGAAGCAGACACAGTGAATAAAAGGGGCCTCCTGTTAGTTATGTCAACCGTGATTCTTCATCGGCAAACTTACGGGCCAAAGGGGGCAGAGCGCGTCTGTGAGGGGCCTCCAGGGATCTGGGGATGAAAATTCCTGAAGGCAAGGAGGCATGGAGGGGAGGGTACATTTGAAAACATGGGGGTTTGGGGAAGAGGTGACACTGGGACAAAGAGGTGACCTGCAAAGGAACCCAGAAATCCCCCTCTCATGCCTGGCAGCCCTGAAGGAAGAAGGAAATGAAACCAAGGCTGACTCCCCTGACCCTGACCTGGCCTCAGCCCGCGCCAATGACTCTCTTCTAGGGCCAGCCCATGTCCCTCTCTGGCTGGCATGGTGCCCCTAAGGTAGTTCTATTCTTAGTTGTCCAGGTGTGAAGCAAATCCTTGGGCCACAGATAACAGTGGAAGAGTCAATACAGTCATGATAAGCCAGGGCTGGGACAGATCCGGGTGCTGCTGGCACCAGGCCCTGGCCTTTTGCCATTCCACCCACCGCTGCCTCTGGGTGGGCTCTCTGGCACCCTGGGAATGAGGAAGTGGTTCTAGTTCCCTGACCCCATTGGGCTCAGACACCACACCACGTTCTCAGCCACACCCCCACAGGGTCCATTGCTGTGGTCCAGATGCCCAAGCTGGGTGTGACTCCAGCCGTCAGTGTTGCGCCCTCCCAGCAGTGGGTGTCAGCTGGGGCCTGGGTGTTGCGGGAGGCTTGGCACGCCTAATTTAGGGACCTTCATCCCTTGGGTGCCATTACCACGCCAACTAGACAGGAAACTCCCAGGAATGGTCACACTCCAGGAAATCAGAAATGCGCCTGGTGTCACCATTTATTGTTTCTAAACCACGAGAACGACAGCTGTGGCTCAGCACAGGCCTAGCCACGCCCACTGCAAGGAGGCGGTAGCAGGCACCAGAGGCCTAGCTTGGCCCAACCCAATGGGGACACCAGCTTCAGTTGGGTTCCCAAGGGAGACTTGGCACGTTGGCATGGGTGCAGGATAGGAAAAGCATGCAAGAGGGAGAAGAGGGACAGAAGGGACATGCGGTTGGGGGGTATAGGGACCCAAATAAAATGGTAGGTCCTCCTTCCTCATGGGGAGGCACAAAACCTGGCCGCCAAGGCTGTGGTTCAGCATCAATGGAGCAGGGAGCTTGGCAAGGCAAAGGGCAGAGCTGTCAATCACACCCACTGTTCCAGGTGCCCTCCCTCCCAATAGCCTCAGGGGCACAGGACAGGAATGGGTCAGGGGCTTTCTATGCCTTAGTTAAGACTCTGAGGGCAGGGCCTGGAGCCTAGGCCAACAGGTAACACAGAAAGGAGGACATCCAGAGGGAAGGAGGGGAGAGCCCCTCAGTCAAGGGAAGCCCTGGGAAGACACGGCTGGCAAGGTATGGGGCAGGACCACACACATAGTTAGGGAAAGTTGGTGGGGGGAGCTGCTGGGTAAACAACCTGCTGCCTGGACGCTTGGGGAGCAGAGGTCAGGTCTGGATTCGGGGGCTGAAAGGCTCAGTCCAGCTTGGCAAAGCCCCCGATGGTGACTTTTCTCTCAGGCTTGGTGCCCACAGGCTCCTGCAGCTGTACAGCGCCACCACCAATGAAGCAGAAGGCAGGGCACACAGGCCCTGAGCAGTCCAGGGGGCACTCGAGGAGCCCACGGAAGGACACAGCATCCAGGAAGGAAACTCGCCCCCGCTCGTAGTCCAAGCAGATGCCCAGGCGGGGTGGCAGGGGCACTGTGCAGCTGGCTGCTGGGCCATCCCTCCCTGTCAGCCCTGCGTTTGAACTTGCTCCGGAGCCCAGCAGGATCTTGCCCATGCCAATGGTGAGGAAGGCAAAGGGTGGCAACGCCTCCACTGTAGCATCTTCGGCACCGCTGTCGTGCCCGCTGTCCGGGTCGTATCTGTAGGAGTGGGAATCGGGAAGGAGGATGTTGGGAGGTGGAGGAAGGGAATGGGGGAAGGACCAGGGAGCTGAAATGTTGGAAGGGTGGGATGTTGGGGAACAAGAGGGTGCAGGTATTAAGGTGAACACATGTTGAGGTGGCAAAGGTCAGAGTGTAAGGCTTGAGGCTTCAGTTTGTGTAAGAAAGAAGTAAGGAGAGGGGTAATGGGAAAGAGAGATGGGCGGTTACTAGAGCACACTGAAGGAACGAGGGGCTTGGCCTGTCAGGGTCAAAGGTGCTGCTGAGGGATGTCAGCTGAGGGACATGGTGCTGATGGCACAGTGATTAAGATGCGGGGGGGTGGGAGGGGCAGTGCAGACCCAGGGTCGGAAGGTGGCGGTGGAAGAGGGATGAGGATGGAGGGATACAGGGATGCAGACAACAGAATTCCAAACGAATTTTAGTTGGGGAGAAGGTATCTTGAAGAAATGGGATGTTGAAGGATGGAGAACTTGGGAAAGAAGGTTCAGGAGGGAAATGTTGGAAGAGGTATTAATGAGGCATGGGAGGGGAGCAGGGCTGCAGAGATAGCTTTAAGGGAACCTTTGAGATGGTGAGAGAGAGGTAGGTTAAGGGTCTTGGGGAGACAGCTTCACATGGAAATGAAGTGTTAGGGGAAAGAACAGGGAGCTTAGATAGGTGGAGCACTGGTCCTGAGTGACAGATGGAAGGAAGACGGAATAGCTCTGCCTTCTATCAACCCATTCTCCAGGCATACACTCTGAAACCCCGCCCTCAAAGACCTTTCTGCTGAGTCCACATCGCTTCCATGCTTCTATCCGTAAGCCTCCCAGTCTGGCGTCCATGCTACTTGCTCTTACCCCTCCCCAGCCCCGCCTCAGCAAATCTGTGCTCCCTGGACCACCCTTGCCAACCCCAGCTCCTTTCCCAGGGCTTCATCCCCCATCCCTTGCAGAAGGGCCTGACCTGGGGCTGATCACATCCGGGGCACCCTGGAAGCTTTCCTGAAGCTTGCTCTCCAGCCCGACGCCCACCTTGACCAAGTAGGAGGCAGGGTCTACTGCACAGGCCCAGTAGCTGCGGCCCTGGGTCACAGCCACATCACCCAGGACCACGTCCACACTCAGATGACAGCCTGTGAGCAGCCGCTCGGCAGCCAGCAGCAAGGGAAGCCCCGGAATGCTCCGCACCGCTCGCTGGTCCTTGCTGATAGCTAGCCGCTCTCGGCTCGCACCCCAGCGGCCGTCAAGGAAGAAGTGCAGGACTAGAAGCAGGAGGAGGTTAAGACAGAAGGAAGGGTTTCAGGGACACACACTGGCACTGGGGATCATGGGTGTCAGCACAAACACTGGGAACATGGTGTCAAGAGATTCAGTCACCAGGAACTGGAAGGGGCCCAAAGAATGGGCATGGGGAATTGAAATAGGGACATAGGGAAGAAAGCGGCACCCCAAATAGGCATGGGGACCCAGGAAGAGCTTCAGAGATGACTAGCGGGTGGGTCTCTAGCTGACTCCGTGTCTCTGCAGCTTGTCTTCCACACTGGCCTTGTGTACCGTCTCCAGCCATCCTATTCCACTGACCGTGACTTCCCGTTCATGCTCTGCCCTCATACGCTCATACCTGAGCCCTATACCCAACCTCATCTCTTCTCGTTAACAGGGACTGAGCCTTTACTTGGAGTCAGGGCTGTCTATACTGTGTTAATTATCAAACCACTCTATTTATTATTATTACCTCTGTAGAAGAAGACTCTGAAGTTCAGAGAAGGAAGAACACTTGAGGCTAAGGACACACAGTTGTCAAGGTGGGTTTTGAACCAGGGCAGTTTAGCTCCAGAGGAAATGAGTGTAACCCACAAATCAAATTATACAAATCATAAAAATCAAATTGTATTCAACTGCTCTTCCTGTGCCCATTGGGAACCAGCTAAGTACTTGGGCCATTTTGTGCCCTCTGCATGAACACCTTCACCAATGAAGCCATGAGTCTGTCTACTCACCAGGGGCTGGAGGCGTGTGCAGATGCACGTCCTCACTGTACTCTCCATAGCCAGCCTTGTTGCAGCCACGGACACGCAGCACATACACAGAGCCTGTGTCAGGGTTCTCAAGAAGGGCACTGGTGCCCCTCACCTCCTCCCGACGCTGCCAGCGTGCAGGGCCTGGCTGGGCAGGGACATCCGTACGCCGGAATTCAACGGTGTAATGCCAGGCAGGTGGTGAATGGGGGGGCAGCCGCCAGCACAGGAAGATTTGGTCGTAGGCGAAGGTGCGCTGGGTGTCAATGACAGGAGCCTCAGGCACTGTGGGAAGAGACAACAGGGGTCAGTCAGGGCCTGGCCGCTGGCCTGGCATGGAGAAAGGGGCAGGCGGGAAAGAGGAAGCAGCGGGAGCCGGGGGGTGAGTGTAGGTGAGGGAGCTGGGGAAGAAACCTGGGTGGGCAAGACAGGGCCCAAAGGGGAAAGAAGTGGGCAAGTGCTGGGCAGGGAACAGGAGCCCGAACTCTGGTCTAAGTCTGCCACTACCCTCTTTCCCTCTCTGGGCCTCAGCTTTCTCCTCACTCAAATGACAGCGTCAGACCAATTGCGTTCTGAGGGCCCTTACAAGCGTAGGTTCTCTGAGTTAGGAGAAGCCCCAGAACGAGGCAGGAAAGGCTACTGGAACCCAGGCAAGAGAGCCCTGAGCAGGAAGGGATGCAAAAGGGTCAGGAGGGGGTAACAGGGTCAGCAAGACAGAAAACAGAAAGGGAGCAGAGGAGAGTAAGCCGGGCAGTGCATGTGGTCAAGAGGAAGAGAAGGAAAGTCCACAGGGCAAGGGCCAAGATAACGAGAGGTCAGGAGGACCAGGATTATGCAATAGCTTAAAGAAGGTAGAAGAGACAGGGCATTTGCCAAGTGGGAAGACCAAGAATTCAGAGAACACTGGGACAGAAGGAAGCAATATGTGGGTGGCCAAGCTGTGTGGGAGCACGGGGAGGGAGTAGGGAGGGGGCCCGGCGGGTAGCAGGGCCCCCAGGGCAGGGCTGCTGACTTGCCTGGGGTGTTCCGGAGCACAGTCCGCCGTGGCCACAGCCTACAAAGAGAGAGGGAGAAGCAGCGCTGAGCGCGGTAGGATGGTGTGGCGGGGTTGGCTGGGTGGGAGTGGCTGGCCAGGCCAGGCAGGAGGCCAGGAGGTCCCTGGTGGGCACTGCCCCCCGGGTCCGCTGCTGGGGGGAAAGGGAAGAAGGCTCTGGTTGGACATGGGCCTGGCTAGCTCCTTACCTCTCAGGAAGTTAAGCTCCGTCAGCAGCTTCATCTCACGCCCCACATCCAGCTGACAATGGCGGAAGGAGGAGCTGGCAGCTGGCCGGAACGTCTGCAGGGCCTCAGTAGCTCGGGCAATCCTAGAATGGGGCAGACAAGGGTCAGGCACGGCCAGGCGGGCAGCAATCCCTCCTCAGGACACTGCCCTGCCTACCCTAGAGCCTGGCTCTCTGCTTCAGGGCTCCACCTCGCTCTTCAGAAGACACTAGCATCAGTCTGACTACATGAAAATCCCTGGGCTCCAGCTCTCCACCTGTCCTAGGCACTCGCTACACCCGTGATGCCCACCTCCCTGCAGCCTGCACCCTTGGACCACATCCCCCAGTACCTGTTATGCAGCTGTTTGGCTGCTTGCACAAAGCAAGGCTGATCTGTTTCCTTAAGGACTTCCTGGGCATAACCCACCAAACCAGAGCCGTCCAGCAGGCTCTGATGTTCATGCATCTGGGCGCTGAGCCGTGATAACCGTTCTTGCTGGCACTCTTCAATGGCCTGCAGCAGAGAGGCCCGCTTCTCTTCCAGCACGGCCCCCAGTCCCCGAACCAGCTGTGACACCTCCTCCTTCGCCTGCTGACCACTCACCTGTCCAAGGAGCAACACCCAAGGGATGAGTGACCGAACTGTCTTCTTGGAGACAGCAGCGCTTGGACCTAAGACGCCATACCATACTATCCTAGGGAATCTGGGCAAATTTAACCCAGCCATCTCAATTGGGCCAGGGTCACGGTAAGGCACCTACGCCGCAGGTATGGTCACCTCCTGATCATCTGTGCTGACTTTCCTGAGTGCTACACCATAGTTGTAGGAGAGAGGAGAGAGAGGCCCCTTCTATTTCCTAGATTTTTGGTTTGATCTAAGAAACCAAACTAACACAGGAGAAAAGTACAAAAGTCATATTAATTCTATACCTACCACCACCGCCAGGCTGGTTACATTTTTTAAAAAAGATTTATATATTTTATATACAATGATCCTCCAGCATGTACACCTCTATGCCAGGAGAGGGCACAAGACCTCATTACAGAGGGTTATGAGCCACCATGTGGTGGTTGCTGGGAATTGAACTCAGGACTCTGGAAGAACAGCCAGTGCTCTTAACCTCTGCCATCTCTCCAGCCCCTAATGGTTACATCTTTAACTTAAATAATTTCTTTAATTTTTTTTTTCGAGACAGGGTTTCTCTGTAGCTTTGGAGTCTGTTCTGGAACTAGCTCTTGTAGACCAGGCTGACCTAGAACTCACAGAGATCCACCTGCCTCTGCCTCCTGAGTGCTGGGATTAAAGGTGTGTGCCACCACCACCCGCCAAATTTATTTAAATTAATTTTGCCAGTTTTGTGTTTTGTTATTGTGGTGATTTGGGGCCTTGACCATGTATTAATGCAGCAGGTATACACAATCTTTTAACACATTTTTTATAAACCATCTTGATTTCATTTATCCGTGTGTGTGCCTGTGAGCACCACACGTGTGCGGCAGCCCTGAAGGAGCCGGAGGTCAGGTGACCATGAGCTGCCTTGTGGGTTCATCTCTCCAGAGCCCCTTTGCCCTTTGTGACGGAGATGTGTGCTCACCACTGAGCCCCACTGCCAACTCTAGAGCGCTGCACTTGGGAAGAAGAGATGTGATAAATGAGTACCTGGCTGACTTAGCCATGTTGCTGAGAGGCCAAGGGGGAAAGCCCAAAAACTAAGGGAAAGTAAGAGCTGCTTTAGATAGTTGGTTATTTGGGTACATTGAAGCCTCAACACCAGTGTCTGGCGAACAAGATCGTTTGGTTCTAGTGAGTCAAGGAGAGCCTTCTCCGGAGAACCCTTCTGTCTTGATGCACGTCAGAAAATACAGCAAAGGGCCCTCTCTGAGACATAGCTCCTTTAGAAACTGCAGCTTGTGGTCGTCATTACACTAACTGGCCATATTTTGCCTTAGCTCTTTCATAGTCTTAATCTCTCTCTTTTCTTTCTTTTTTTCTTTTAAAACAGTGTTTCCCAATAGCTTTGGAGCCAGTCCTGGAACTTACTCTGTAGACCAGGCTGGCCTCGAACTCACAGAGATCCACTTGCCTCTGCCTCCTGAGTGCTGGGATTAAAAGCGTGCACCACCACTGCCTGGCTATAATTAATTAATTAATCTCTTAATGTCTCACCCAAACAAGAAAGGCCATGTTTGCTGTGATGTCCACTTTTGGATTACACTAGCTATGGCGCACAGGTGGCTTATGCCACCATTATCATCCATTCCCACCTCAGCTACCTCAACCTTGCAGAAGCTGTTTGTGCCTCGCCTGACCCCTAGTTGTAAGGTTGTATCCATGCTAGGCTGAACCGAGGCGCATCTGAGCTTCTTAGCCCCCAGCTGCGGCACTCCTACCCCCATTGCAGCCCTAGCTACAGCCTAAGCCAGGCACTGGTGTGCTTGCCAAGGAAGTTTAACCAGAGCCTCCACCCACGCACATCTTCCTCCTGCGGGCTCTGAACTGGCAGCAAGGCAAGGGGGGCATGCCCATCCAAGCAGGATCAGAGGCCCACATCCACGCCTTTCCTCACCTCAGTATGCCTGATGGTCTCTTCCAGCTCACAGATCTGGGTCTGTACTGTGTCCTGGTTTCCCAAGATGTATGCCAGGCTCTTTGTCAGCTTATCCTAAGGGCAAAGAAGGAGGTGGGCGTCATACTGACTCTGCAGAAGCAAGTAATTAGGAGGGGTGTGCTGGTGTGTGTGAGCCTGGGGCTGAGAAAGCAGAGGTCTTTACCTTGAGGGCCTGGTAGGCACTGAGCACTGGAGTGATCTTGTGTCCACTGTGGGTGCGTCGTACCCTGCAGAGTTGACATACCAGTCGTTGGCATGTCTTACAGTAGTGAGTCACCTCTTCCTTGTGATCTGGACACATCAGACCCTGGGGGTACAAAGGACAGTGAAACAGCCAGCAGAGTCTGTGAGTGTGCTGACCTACCAGCAATTGGTTACGCTCCTCCAGCCTTGAGATGGATGGGAGTGGAAATAGCGGTGGTGCTCCCTAGTGCCACCTGGTGGTGGATACTGGCATTAAAACACTTCTAAACTGTCCAATGTCCCCTTCACTGGCACGGCTCTTCCCTCATCTACTTCACACCGATATGTATACAGTAATAACAACAATGATGATAATTAATATAACCCTGTAGCTCATCTTTGTTCACAGCCGTACCCGTGAATAGCAGCATCCTGCATATAAACAACTTTTTGTTGTTGTTTTTTCGAGACAGGGTTTTTCCTGTGTAACAGTCCTGGCTATCCTGGAACTCTATTGTAGACCAAGCTGGTCACAGAGATCTGCCTGCCTCTGCCTCTCAATTGCTGGGACTAAAGATATGTTCCACCATTGCCTGACTATACACAACTTTTTTTGAGATAGAGTTTTCCTGTGTAGCCCAGGCTGACCTTCAATTTCCAAGTCTCTTGATTTAACCTTCCAAGTGCTGGGAACTCAGGCGTGTGCTGCCATGGTTGGCCAGATAACACTTTTTTAGGCAACAATATCTCCTGCGATCCTATCAACAGTCTTTAGGGTACAGACATCGCAGGTAGATTCTCTCATCTGCGTGCAGAAGATGAGATGAGTCGTGCACAAATACTGAATCACCTGGTCAGTGAATGTTAGAGCCGGGCCATCAGGCGGCCAGATGTACTCAGGAAGTGGAGGCAAGGGGCTTGCCATGAGTTCAAGGCTAGTGTGGGCGATATGGCAAGGCTCTGTCTTGTTTTCTTAGTATTTCATTTTGAATTATGTGTATGTATGTGGCTATGTGTGGAAATGTACGTGTGAGTGCCTGAAGAGGCCACAGGGGTTGTATCCCCTGGAGCTGGGAGTGGAAATTACAGGGAAGCAAACTGGGATTCTCTGGAAGAGCTCTTAATCACAGAGCCGTCTCTCCAGCTCTAAGACCTGTCTGTCTCTTTCTCTCACACAAACATGTGTGTGCACACACACTCACACATATACACTATTCACACACATACACACATACTCATACACACACAGACAAAAACTCAACCTGGCCCACCACCCTTTGGAAGCCCAAATGCCAGCCACCCCCAACCATTGGTTCAGTACCACCATGCCCCTCCCACTTCAGACCCCATAAGAACCGGCTCACCTTGGGGCGGAATGAGAGAGTGGGCAGAGTGGGCTCATGCTGGGCCTTCTGAGTGCCCCAGGGGTGGAAGAGCTTGAAGCATTCATTGCAGAAGGTCGCTCGACACTCGGTGCAGCCCTTGGTGGCCTCTAGCGGTGGGGGCTTGCACAACTGGCACAGGATGGCGCCTCCCACGCTCACACTCTGTCGGTACCTCTCCACCACGCGCTCTAGGGTCAGGTTTCGGAAAAGCCCAGAAAGGCCGCGCTCCCCCAGCTCCACATCGCCTTGGCAGGCTGGGCACGGGAATATGATCGTCTGGGGGTGCAAGGCACCCCGCTTCCGCCCAGGGTATGTCCCGAAGCCTGTGGGAGGACCCAGTAGGCAGAGGTTAGAATTACAGCTGACTGGCGGTGGATGGCCTCTGCTCAATTAAAAACTGGACTTTCATTGCATCAGAGCTCAGCCCTCCTAAAAATCCAGGTAAGCAGTAAGTAGTTCCACCCCAGAACAGATGCGCCGACCCTCTCCCATCTTTCTGCATTCCCACCCCATCCCACAAACCCCAGCCCCACCTGACTTAAGGAGCCGGTCCAAACGATCTGGTTTGGGGAGAGTTCTCCGAGAGAGGCGGGGGCTTCGGGTAGAAGGAGTAGAAGCAGGAGAAGTGGGTTCCGAACTGGGGTCCCCACCATGGCCTAGGTAGCCCTGCTGGCCCAAGACCTCCCTGGCACAGGCCTGGCACACATTGTGGGTACAAGGCAGCACTAGCGGCTGCTTGTACATCTCTTGGCACACTGGGCACAGCAGCTCCTTCTCCATGTTCTTCATGCTTGTCTGTGGAAGACAGGAGGCTGTGTGGGAGCGAGGACACTCGGGCGTTTTCTCAGCGGGTCCTTTGGCAGTACAAGCTACTGTTTTGGCCCAGAACCTGCCTTGGTTGGTCCACACACCTTCCCAGCTCTCTGTCTCCTGTTTCTGTTCCCCCTTGGAGCGCTTAAGGCCCAGCACGAAGGTATGGTTGGAGCTCAGGCTTCCCCTAGCATCACGCCCCACCCCCATCACTCCGGATCCAGCAGAGCTGGCAGGCAGTCCTCCCTGCTCACCTGTCTCCATCCCTCCATCTCTGAATCACCGGCCGGCTTCTGGGATTTATTTCAAGGGCACCACCCATTCTACATCTGGGTGTTGTCCCCCGCCCCCTTTTCTTAGCAGCCCTTAGGCGCATGACAGTTCCCCGCGGCCAGAGTGCGCTAGCTCTCCGAGCCGGCTGGGCACAAGCCCGTGGCCACCCCAGCGCCCATCCTCCGTTCTTCACTTCTATTTCTTCCCGTCTCCCCAAATCAAGCCATTCCTCTTCGCCTCCAATACTCGAGGTCTCCAGCCCAGTCTGGTGGAGAAACTGGGCCTGCTGCAACCCTTCGCCCTATCTGGGGGGAGGGAGAGCGCCCCGCCTACTTGCCCCCTCCCCACCGGAAGTATCCTTCCCCCTTTTGGTGAGGGGTCTTCTGGCTATTCCCCACCCCCACACCTCACCTTGGTCCCTCTCTTCGCAGCCATCCCGGTCAGGGGCGCAGCTGACACAAAGGAGGGAGGGACAGGGAGGGAAGGGGGAAGGAAGTGGTGGTGGGGGGGGAGTAGGGTTGGCACCGCCTCTGGGAGAGCCGGGCACGGGTTGCCATGACAACCGCAGATTGCACGGCAGCTCGCAGGGGGTGGGGGAGGTAGGGTGGGGGGTCGGGAGGGGTCCAAATTGGGAACTGCACCTAGGGAAAGCTTTTTCATCATTCCCCCCGACCTGTCCTCAGTTTCTTGGAAAACATCCAAGCCCTCACATGCCCTTTCTCATAACCCTGGTGCACTGCTGGCCGCTGCCCCAAGCCTACCCGCTGGGTCCGGACCGCTTCTCGCTGCCTACACCCCGGCAGACGGGAGTCTTTAGGGCACTCAGCACCCGGCTGTCGCTAGGATCCCTGCACACCTGCACTCTGCTTCCCGTTATTTCTGTCATAACTAGCCCTGCCTCTACATTCCAGACTCTTCCTGGACCCCCACCTGTTCAAGGAGCTGGCTTTCCCCGACCCTCTACACCCCTCCCTTCCCCTTGACCCCACCTTAACTCACACTGATGCGGACTAGTGCATCCATGATGGAAGTGAAGGTCTGCATATCCTCACCCTCAGCCATGGCCCAACTGTGCCCGCCCGCCCCCAGTGGCCCGACCGGGCTGCTGCTGCGAACCCGGGGCTTAATGCAGGAGCCGGGTGGGGTGTGGGAAGGGGTGGGGAGGGTGAGATGTCATTGCGCATGCTCCAGGGACCTGCCTCGAACTGCGCCCGTCGAGGTTGGGGGTGGGAAATAGTTCTTCCCACGTGGTTCTTCAAAGGCGGTCAAGGGGGTGGCTAACCTGGAAGGGCATTCGGGAAAGGAACCATTCCTTCTATTAGAATCCTTCATCGATCCCTCCTCATCCTACTCACATAGGGCAAGAGGCTGATTTCAGAGGAAGACGAGTGCTACATTTTGGGTGGGGCATGTCTTCGGAGATGTTGAGGCAACCAGAGTAGGGCAGGGAGGTCTGAGGAACTTGTACTACAGATGACATAAATAGCAAAGAAGACATAGGTGACTCTAGGCCATGGGGTCATGAGTGACCCCATGAATGAATGCAGCTGGTCCTGAGAGGCAGCAGATGCCGCTGGGTGCAGAAGAAGGCTGGAGACCAAGCAGGGCGGTGGCCTAGAATGCTCCTCGAAGCACTATTTCCTCCTTGCCGCAAGAGGGCGCTGCGTCCAAGGCGCCTAGAGGAAGAAGTAAAGCGAGTCCACGTTGGCCCCGACGCCTGCGTACAGACACCCGCGTCGGCTTTGGCTCCTCTCCTTCTCTGCCAGAGGCACAGATTGGACCCACGGGCGGGGCGTGATGGGTAACCGGACCGGCGGAATCCCCGGGCTGCCCTAGTGGGGGTGGGCGTTGGGGTGGCCCTCTTTTCCCGGCAGCTTCCGTAAAGCTGACGTGTCCTGGTTTCCAGGGCGCTGGCATTTCCTCGGGACAGGCGGGAACTTAGGTGTGGGGGCTGGGGGTTCCTGGAGGTCGCCGTGGGGTGAGGGGAGGGCGTGTGGCTGCAGTACCCCGAGCGCTTGGAAGTGGTTGGCGGACCGAACTCCGGGGCGAATCTGCCTGAAGCTTTGTTTGACTCATTTTCTCATCCCCAGTAGTCGGTACCGGAACCTCCTTGGCGCTGTCCTCCCTCCTATCCCTGCTGCTCTTCGCTGGCATGCAGATATACAGCCGCCAGCTGGCCTCCACCGAGTGGCTCACTATTCAGGGGGGCCTGCTGGGCTCCGGCCTTTTCGTCTTCTCCCTGACTGTATCCTCTCTACGCTGGAAAAGGGGTTGGGGAGGAGGTGTTTGAACAGAAGATGGGTAGGGGACCGAGTGGGCTTTTGCGTTTCTTCTCCTCCCCAGCCCTGGGCTTTGCTTGTCTCTTACTCCCCAGTCCTGTCTTGTTGCAGGAGTTTCTCCTTAATCCCCTCAACCCAGGCCTTCAATAATCTCGAGAATCTGGTCTTTGGTAAAGGTTTCCAAGCAAAGATCTTCCCAGAGAGTAAGTGAAACTCGGTAGTTGGTTGAACTCTTTTTAACCTGTCCCAAACATGATGCTGAATTTCCCTGTGGTTAAGATGGTACCGGAGAAATACGTTTGCTCAAACTGTCTTGAGGACAGAGTGCTTTTGGATCAAGCGTTCTGTCCAGCTCCTGGCATTGGAACTGGAAGAGAAGAACAAAGAAGAAAGAAAAAGGAAAACCTGGCTGGCTCCCAGGAAAGGTTTCGAGCACAGTTAAGTTGGCATCCTCAGGAAGGTGGTTTTTGCTCCTGTGAGAAAAGGAAGCAAGACAAGTTCACTGAGGGATTTTTGATGTGAAATTGAGCCCGTACTAGGGTTCTCTTGAGGGGATTGTGAAGGCGGTACTTACTGGGATGTTACTGATAAACGATAGCAGGACTCCCAACCAGAGGAGAAGAGAGAATCACTGTTAGAGCTCTCTCTTTCCTCTTTCTCCCCTTGAACTTACAATGTGGCCAAGGATGACTTTGAACCCTTGAACTGCTGATCCCCCCAGCCCCCACCCAAGTGCTGGGATCAGCACCATCTCAGGTAGATGATGTGCTGGTATGGAACCCAGGGCGGCATTCAAGAGAGGCAAGAACTCCACCAGCTCCACATATCCAGCCCTGATAGATCAGCTTTTGATAATCCTTGGTAGATGGTTCCCTTAAAGATCTGATGGTTTAATCATTTGTGGAGAATTAAGTTTACAAAGCAAAGTCAACATCCCCTCTGGAAAGCCACACACTCAGAAACTCCTAGCAGTTGCAGTCGTGTGAAAGGTTGACCCAGGAACACCGACCGGTCATCGCTGTCCACACTTCCTCGCCTCGCTGGTGCAGGTTTCCAGAACTCTGTCTCTTAAACTTCATCCCACATGTACCATCACCATTATTTTCTGAAAGAAACCGTTGTTGGGAGACAAAATCCTTGTCTTCCTTTGCCTTCCCTGCTGGCTTCACCCTTCTGCCCTCTAACCCCCTCCTTAGGTCAGGCCTTAGGTCTCTTCCTAAATAATGGGAATGAGCCTTGCTCTCCAAGCCTTGCTAGTACATTTTATTTTATTTATTAATTTGCTTTTGAGGCAGGGTCTCACTGTGTTGTCTTGAATTCCTGGGTTTAAGGGTCCTTCTGCTTGAGCTATGGAGGCATGTACCACTGTATTCAGCTTCCTCTTGTTTTGGGGAGGGCACAGGTTGTTTTGTTTTTTTGGCAGGGGGGGGGGATGACCAGGAAGTTAAATGGGATGTGTAGCAAAGCGAGTAAAACAAAAACCAAACACAACTCCAGATCTCACTGCCGTGTTCTGAACAATGTTAAGGCCCTCTGAACTCTCGACTTTTAGCAGGACATTTCTTTGCTTTTTTGTTTTTGATTTTTTTTCTTTTCAAGACAGGATTTCTCTGTGTAGACCAGGCTGACCTCAGACTCCCAGAGCTCCGCCTGCCTCTGCCTCCCGAGGGCTGGGATTGAAGGTGTGCCCACCAGGACATCCCTTTTCCAGCATCCTTGTTCTTGCCTCCCCAGTCCTCCTCTGCTTGCTGTTGGCGCTCTTTGCATCTGGCCTCATCCACCGCGTGTGTGTCACCACCTGGTATGTAGCTGACAGCTGGGCAGGGGTACAGGGACGCCTGTCTTGTTACCAGATCCCTGTGATGTTGCCAGTCCTTCGTTTTTCTCATTTTTGTTCTTTCCTGATTTCCCAAACCAAAACCGGAATTCTTTCCCTGAAACTGGTGTCCGCCCTGCTAGCGGCATGCCTATTGATGTGCTGTTTTCTCTTTATCCTGTAGCTTCATCTTCTCCATGGTTGGCCTGTACTACATCAACAAGATCTCCTCCACGCTGTACCAGGCAACAGCGCCAGTGCTCACACCAGCCAAGGTCACTGGCAAGGGCAAGAAGAGAAACTAACCCCGAGTGACGAATAAAGTTGATTCTTTGTAGTTCTGTCTGTAAGCACTGATAAGTTGTAGACCTCAGCTACCAGTGCCTGAGCTTGGCCGGCCCTGCACTGTCCTCTGCTTACCAGAGAGCCCCTGTGGAAGACATGCAAATGGGATTCAAGGTGTTAACCTGTGGGGAGAGGCTAAAGGCTGAGAGGATAACAGGAAGGGCTGTCTTCCCAAACCAGAGTAGATTTTTAATATTGAGTGTGTGTGTGCGCGCGCGCATGCGCACACGCTGTAAGGTGGCAGTGTCTTCTTCAAAGCCAGGAAAGATCTTACAGTGGAAGTGAACCCCTTAACTCCTAGAATGTGGGTTCCACATGGGCTGTTACTCCAGCTCCCATGCTGAGAAATGAACTTTTGTCCTCCTCGTGAGCAAAGGACCCTGGATCCTTTTGTAGCAAGCTGGGAGGTAGGAGTCTCATACTGATGTTGCTCTCCTCATCCATCTGTTCTACTCTAGCATGGGCCAAGTGCCTGTGTTTCCGTGGATCCGAGGCTAGTCTCCAGCCCTTGCCTGTGTTTCCGTGGATCCGAGGCTAGTCTCCAGCCCTTGCCTGTTTACACGGATCCAAGGCTAGTCTCCAGCCCTTGCCTGTGTTTCCGTGGATCCGAGGCTAGTCTCCAGCCCTTGCCTGTTTACACGGATCCGAGGCTAGTCTCCAGCCCTTGCCTGTGTTTCCGTGGATCCGAGGCTAGTCTCCAGCCCTTGCCTGTGTTTCCGTGGATCCGAGGCTAGTCTCCAGCCTTTGCCTGTTTACACGGATCCGAGGCTAGTCTCCAGCCCTTGCCTGTGTTTCCGTGGATCCGAGGCTAGTCTCCAGCCTTTGCCTGTTTCCGTGGATCCGAGGCTAGTCTCCAGCCTTTGCCTGTTTCCGTGGATCCGAGGCTAGTCTCCAGCCCTTGCCTCTTCACTCTGCTTTCCCCCCTTTATCTTTTGTCCCAGATACTGGGAAATTCATAAGTTTTCTCAGAATATATCGAGGAACAGCCAGTCTAGATGGAAATGAAGCACGTGGCCCTCAGATTGTGTTCTGCGCTGTCATGAGAAGCAGCTCTGTCCAGAGTGCTTGTCCTTTAGGCCACCAAGGCTCCTCTTCTGGGGTGATGTAGGTTTTAGAGAACACACATCCTGGTCACTTTTGTATGCTCACTAGTGCCTGATAATGGAAAGTAGGTTGTTTGAATGAAAGAACTTGTCCTCCAACCTTTCTAAGAAGGACAAAATTCTATTTTTTTAAACGCACCTAAAAGTTAGGGGATAAGATCTAGTTAAGATAAATGAAAGTGTGAAAGGGGTTCTGAGGGAGGGTTAGAGGCCACCCTACCCTGTCCCATAACCTGGCTCTGTCCCCGTCTACACCAAGTGCCTGCAGAGGGCGCTGTGAGCTCATCTGTCCTGGACACCTAGGCAGCGCACTCCCTGCAGATTGTCCCTAAAAGGCCGCTAGGGGGTGCTCTAGGTCTTTGGAAGCCAAGGGTCCAACCACCCTCCTGGGAGGGCAGAAATCTCCCTTCCTAGCTGTGGGCTGGGAGTGGGGCAGAGATTTCGATAGAGATCTCAGTCTAACTGAGCACGGAGTTCAGGCTCCTGGCTAACCTAGAGAGAGAGCAGGGAAGTCAGAGGAATGTGAGGTGGGTCCTGAGTCTGTGGAAAGCTGGATGGTTCTAGATCTTACTGTCAGACTTTGACTTTCTCCTTACGTGGAGAGCTGTGGGTAGGGCACATACAGCCTGGGGTGAGGCTTCCTGAGTATCCAGAGGCTTCCAGAAGGCTAGCTCAGCTGGAGCCAGGCAGACAGCAGCATCATTTCTATGACTAGGGGAGTGAGGGCAAGAGCGGCAACAGGTGTCTTAACAGTGCTAAGGGATCTAGCCACCTGCTACCACCCACCATGTAGGACCAGGGGCAGTATGTGCCTCAGGAATAATGACCCATCCCTCAGGAATGG